AGTAGTAACTTTAATAACAGGGTGATAATTTGTTAAAAACAATTTGTAAAACAAATCAACAACTAGCCAATGCCAATGAATGTATTTTGTGAAGAGAAATGTAATTCTCTGTAAAACTAAATTAGACTGACACAATAGTAAGAGATTAAACGTGCACAATTTTTATACCTATTTCATACCAATGTAGGCCTACTTGAATCTGTTTAGTGTTGTTAAAGTTAAAATTATTTTTTATCACATTCTTCTGTGAAAATTTTGATTTATTCATAAAATCTCCAAACACTGTTACACTACCTTAAAATTATACTTTCCATTAGTCGTGGATGGCATACTGTATTGTAAAGAATTCTAAGGTAATGTAAATAAAGGTCTATTATTATAAATATTAAACATAACTACTATTATTATTAGTTACTACCCTACTCAAAACTCAATCTCAAGTATGCCGCCTACTACATTTTGTACCAAAACTTAGTTAACGTTAGTTTAACTTTAATTAATATAATATAGGTAAATCGGCTTATGCCTATTTAATAAAACATAACATATGATATCATACTGTATGAATCATGAATGGGGCTTATTTTAAAATTATCTTTAAATTTTGACTTTAATTATTCACCAGTTCAGCTCTCCCCACTTTCGTTTCGGGGAAAGGCAATATTAATTGAAAAAAAGGGAGAAATTATTGTATTGAAAATGTTATCCTAGACAATTATTGAATAATAAAGCACAACATTGACAACATGGACAAAAGATTAAGTAGCCGTCAGGGATTACCGGCTTATAAAACTATAATATTAATTTATTATTATATATGTAAAGGTGACAAAGAATATTAAACTAAAACTAAGTTATTAACTAAGTAACTGGAATGTGGAAAATCAACGCAGCAGCAGAAAGAACTTCGGCTTCGGGTTTCTTGGAAGTTGGTTAGTAGACGTAGCCGTAGAAGCAAGGAGGGGAACTCTGTTCAACTTCATCAATCTTCATTCAATTTTTAATCAGGCTACTCAATCGAAAAGCTAACTTTTATGTCAGACGATAATAAATTATACATTCTTAGTAGTATTACCATTGTACCGCCATTTTTACTAATACTAATAGTGTACCCATCTCCCCTCCTATCGTAAAAATCTGTCACTATACTTAGTATATAGTATAATACTATTATATATAATTTATTAATAATCTAATTCGTGACCACCTCCACAGAGCAGATCATCATGACGGCGGCGTTAGTTATGAACTACTATTACTACTTACTACTAGCCACTAGATTAATTTGACAACAAGGATTTGTGTCAATATCATTGTCAATATGATGCCATTGCCATTAGTACTATGGTAGGCCTAATATTAATTCTTTCAATATTAACATTACATTCATCATTCATTGATTAGAAGACCTAGGCCTAGGCCTAGGCCTAGGTGATGTTAACTGTGTAGAATGTACAAAACATTACTTAATTTTAATTATTAATACATTCATTAATACATTATTATTAATTATAATTATTAATATATTAATTCACAAAGATTAAATTATGTCTAAAATAAAACATACATATTTTTTTTAAAATAGCATGTAAATGTACTATGATAAACTACAATGTCTATCTTAGTCATTACTATAGCCATATTAAAAGTGGATACCCTAGTCCTAGTCTAACACTAACAGTTACAAAAATGATACTACAATTACTCTAATTAATTAAGTAGTAGCCAATCTTTCTATAGTGACTATAGTCATAGTCATGTATAGAATAGAGAATTTCATCTTCAGTAATCCAATTTTTTTCATTGTTTGTTGATGATTGAAATCAAGATATAAGACTTAAATAATGATGTCATGTCATGCCATTTTGGAAGATTTTTAACCCCCATTCACCATTCAGCACAAATTTATATCACAAACTAAACACCTTTATTACATATGGTCAAAAATTCGTGGACCTCCCACAACTGCAACAGATGCATGGCATTGTGTATAGATTTGCCCCTTATGAGATAATCATAAGGACATTAACTTTTCACTACCCACTTTTTATGGTTAAATGCATTAAAAAAATCATATCATAGACTAATTTCAATGTGCCATACTCAAAGCAAATCATTCATGTTATGTTCTTGATTAGTTACTTAAAATAAATATTATTAATGCAATAATATGTATGTGCTACAAAGTGTAATAATAATATCTATCATCTGCACGCCTATTAATTTAGAAGATGGATAATAAATATAATGCAATAATTTGATTGGGGTACAATGTCAAATATCAATCTTCCATATTAAGTTAGATGAACTGTTAACACATCAGATCTTAGTATAGTTGACCTTTCTGACATTGATTATCAGATACTGCCTCTGGCATTGGCTGTAGTATAGTTATACCTAGTCTTTAGTTTTACTGTGCTATTCATTTATTCAATCCAAGCATCTTAATTATCAGTGGTGCCCAAAGACTCAGTGATATGATGGTGACATAAATATTATGTGGTTAATACAGAAAAGAAGATGAGAGGGCATTTAAATTAACATTTGGGGACAATTTCAATATAATGTAGTTATTTGTAACTATGACTGATTAAACTAATTTTTTTTATCATCCAAATTTTCTGGTTTTTCTATGATGGGTAAAATGGTAAATGGGGTAATCCAGAACATTCTTTTATTGCTCACCAAAACATCTACTTGACACAAGGTTAACTATAATATTTTTAAAAGCTATTTCTCACATCTTTATTTCATGTCATAACTGATTCAAACCCACCATTCTTTGACCTCTTCTATATTTCATAATAGATTTCAAAATAAGGTTCGTTATTTTAGAAAAACACTGTACATAAATGATGGAATCTTGAAGTACAAATTTAAATTCTGGGAAGATGTAAGAAAAAAGTGTTTTAAATAAAACCAAATAATGGTAATAGCAATGTTATTTGGTTTAATTTTTTCTAATTTAATTATTGATATTAATGCTCTGCACCATAAGAAAACAATTATTTAACTATATTTCTGATCGTATTACATTTAGGAAAATAACATTTTAAAAAACAGGCATATATATACCATGGACATGCTTAAACATGAAATTATTTGTGAGTATAATTTTTTTGCGTGTTAAAAGAATTATTTAGTTGAAAAAGTAAAGAAAACACAAAAAAACTAATCAATGTTTTTGATGTTGAAATGATCAAAAGAGTAAGTATAGGAAGTTTAAACAAGTTTAATGCTACAGTACTCAACAAACTGTGCTTAAATAGTTCAATAAATTGTCAATATTCGTATGATCTGACAATATTGTGTTAACTATTCTAAACTTAAAAAATATTCTCCCTACATCAAAGGCGTCAAAACTTTATGTTACTGACTTCAATATATATATTTTTTAAAATTTCTTTACCAATTATATTTATAAAAATAAGAAAATAAAGGATGTTAGCATCGCCCTTATTTCTTAAAATAAAAAAATAAATAAATATAATAATGCTTAAACTTTTCAAACCCTCCTCCCCCTTGCCCCTTTTCCCCCTTATGTTCCCTCTCCCTTACATCTTCTACTTGAAGCAACCACATTTAACTGTAAATGAAATAGGACTTTGTTTACTTGCTTATATTTCTTCTAGACGGTTGAGGGAGACAAGTTTATGTTGAATTTCTTTTTTTACAATAAAAAAAAAAAATTAATGACTTTATTCAAGAAAATAATAAAATTTTTAATGGAATTTTTTGCATTTAATGAATCACTAAAGGGAAGTATACAAATAATTGGCAATGAAAAAAAATTTGGAAACACTGGTATAAAGATGTTGATACAACAAGTTTAAAAAAAAAAATTGTCAGGTATAAGTCAGCCAGAAACAAAGTCAAGGTGTTTGATGCATTGGTATTATAAGCCATAAAAAGTTTGTTAAAAATACATGAAACTTAACAGGTACACTTTAAACATTTCAAGTTAAATCAAACATTTTTTTTATGACTTTGAAAATGATTAACCTCAGTCTGATGGTTTTCAACTTCAACTTTAATCAAATTTTGCAATTATACTGGCAGCATGTGTTCCACTAGGTCAGAAAATGCAAAATTTTATATATGTTAGACTAAAGATTTTTCTGAAAGTTCAAAGATAATTTTAGAATCAAAAGTCCATAACGATATTACATAATGCAATCATTAGTCTAGATTCACTTTAGCTGTCTATAAAACAAGTGATATAAATGTACTGACTATTGTCTTATTTAACATCAAACTCATAAAATTAAAAATCTGGTTTTGATTTAATGCTGTTTAAATTTTCATTTTAAACACAACAAAATATATTGTGTTCATTCAAGTTAAAAATATTACTGTCATTGAAATTTAACTAAATTTCAAAGACAGTAAAATTTTTATTTCATTTGAATCATAACATAATAAGGAAAATGATGGGTTATATAGAGTTTACAAAGACATATCAGGCTAAATGAAAAGGATTTCTATAGGGCCCTGCATTTGCTATGACAGAACCTTTGAAAGAGGGAAGGAACTTGTCATGTTGTGCAACCTTCAAGGCACACCCCAGCATATAAAAACAAATGTTAAGTTTTATTTAAAGAAGAAAGTATTGTTTATATTCACATACTTATTTCATTCAATAATCATGTAACAGTAATTCTAAAATGTGCAAATGCTAAAATCAATTTAAAGAATAAGAGTGGATCTATATAAATAAAATGAAAATTAACTGCACATGACTATTGGAATCTTAAAGTAAGGACAGTAAATATTTATCTTGCTAATTGTTTGAAAAACAAACTAAATACCATCACACATAAAATATTCACTAACTCAAATCAATTCGTTAAATAGTTGTTAAGTTACTTCAAATTATCTACATATCAATGGAAACAAATATCCATAACAGCATATCTTATTTTTTTAGATTTAGGATGAAATAAGCAGTATTAAAATAACATACATGCATATCTTTAAAAAAAAAAAAATGCATTTGTTATCCTCCATACAATATGAAAATATGAATGAAATCAATGAAGCTAACAAAACCAAGAATCAAAATAAACTAAGTTGATAATATACCGGTACACATTTTTATCAACCAGGAACTTCAAACATTACAGGAAAAATAAAATACCTTAGCAAATTTTTATTGGAGCTAGAGTCTCTACCTGGGAACATGCTGTGACAAGTCAAGAGAAATGATGTAGAAAAAAAGTTAAGGAAAAACCCAAGGGAGGGTTGTTTTTTTTATTTTGGTTGGGGCATGTCTTGAGTTCTTAAGTTGTATTCATGTTTCCTCGGCCACACGTCTTTGCTTTATAATTCGTGAATAAGTTACAAGAAAAATAAAAGAAGGCGAAATCATAGCAGAGAATGCTGGTCCTGCCCCCATTGAATGGCACACAGTTGCGAGCATTTTCGAAGCATGACATGGCTGATCACCTGACCCAGGCGGTTGCTGATCACCTGACACTCTACAAGGCAAGTCAGACTATAGAATGTGAACACATTTACTTCTGGGCTATTGAGAATTTTGGAGAAGTTAGTCATGGGTGGTGGCTCTTCGTAAGTTCAACTTTCAATAAGTCAAGCTCTGAAAAATATATCACTAACACTTAAAAAATTAACAATTATGTAGTTGCATTTCTTTTGATTGCTTTTTTTTGTTGTAAAGTTAAATAGAACTTAAGGCAATATAGAGTAATACAAAAAGAATTATGAATTTCAGCTTACCACTTGATGGAAGTAATGCTCAGCCAGGTAACTTAAATAATGTTTTGAAAATAAAATTTTGTCATAATCCAACAATGTCCCAGCAACCTTTGTTAATTTTCATTATTTTCATTGTCATCTAATTTTTGTGTTTTATTTTTATACCAAAGTTAAAGGTTCAATGTTAATTCAAATATCAAACTACAATTATGTATCTGTAATTTTTGTTATAAAAACTAAACTAAATTTACACTTTTAAAAAAAAAATTCTAGTTCTTTACTTAATAATATAAGTGACTACAAGAGAAGAATTCAGCTTTTTAAAAAAGAAGAATGTTTTAAATGTCAATGAAAAATGCTTATAAAGTACAATTTAAAAAAATTAATTTGGTGCCAATTTCAGCAAATGTGGGAGTGAGAGGTAATATCCTGAGTTATGAGATTCCAAATGGCTCTGGTGGGAAAAGCCATTTTTACATAGTTAATGCAGAGTAAGTTCATGTTTCTATCTAAAAATAAAATAAATATTTAAATATATGTCTTTTACCCTTCCACGAAAGAGAAAATCTGGATACAATTATTGACACTTATGTAAATTTTTAAAAAGTGTTTAGTTATAGACATGACTGTGGAAAATTTTTTTTAAATCTCTTTTTGTTTTTCATCTTGAGCACACAATTATTAGATCTAACATATGTTGTTACAAGTTCTGAATGAGTTTTAATCAAAAGAAAAAAAAATTGTGAATATCTATTTCTCTTAGCAGCAGAGGAGAACGAGGAATTTTCCAGTATTCCAAAGGCGGTGTTGTTTCAAGACAACATACCTCAAAGATATTTCCAAAAAGTACAATAAGTGTGGTAAATAAATATTTCATTGTTTTTTATTCCAGTCCAAGCAACACTTTATTTCATGTTGTTTTTTTTGTGCTTTAGTTTTGTTGTTGTGGCATAAACCTCCTTTTAAAATGAAAATGTATTGTTTAAAATATCACCTAACATTACAAAGCAGATAAAGCACCAATATCTACAATTTTTAATGTGAGAAAATATTTTGAAAAAAAACAACAATAATTCTAAACGATAGTTAAATAATTTGCCAACTCTAAATGATTTATGGTCCTGATTAATAATTTCAGCTCTCAAAAATCAATTAAATAATATCTCAATTTAGTCTTCTTTAATGTTAAAAATAATTGACAATTATTGTTAGCAGTGATCTAATCTTATTTTTTTATTTTTTTTTTATTAAAAAAAATACTTTTTAAAAAGTTGATGTAATTTTGACACATTTATATAAGAAATCCACAATACATATTACTGTAGTGTATGCTTAAATACATATTATTGAAAATGGAGAGTTAAAGAAAAAATGCTTTTTTACCATTCAGTATGGCTTAATTTCTTCTAAAATTTTGATATATTTCAGAGAAGTCAAAACCGCCAAGATGGTCACTACATTGTCACATTGAAGAAGCTAAATGGTGTTGATTTGAATACATATTTTTCCTAAATGTGCATATCCTGAAATTTATTGTCAGTGTAACTTCTATTAAAATGTAATTTCTAGATTTTCCACATTTTCTAGATTTTGTAGATTACATTTTAAAATAAAATTTTATGCAGGAATTCATTTAATATTATTATTGACATTTATGAGATTTTACATACTAAAATGAACATCTATTTTCACGAACGTTATCAAAATCTCAAAATCTTGAACATTGAATTTACTTAAAATTACTTATGTTATTTTTATTTTCTATTAACATTCACAAATTATATAATTTTCTGAGAAGGTTATTTGTTAGGATTCATTCAGTAAATGAAATTTTTACTTTTTTTTTTTTTTACTTCGAAAAATTTAAAAAAAGCATGTCTCAACATAAAAAAAAGAAATATTTTTTTCTTATTCAGGTGGAATATAGTTTCAGCAGTTTTAAACTTTAAAAAAAATACTATTGTATCAAGTAGATCATTTTCAAAGTGTACTATACAAACAAATTGTAAATAACTACTATTTTCTTCAAATCTCAAACCACAATTCTTAGCACTAAAAGTGTTACATTGTTAAATTAAAATGCTTAACAAGACTTGCAATAGTCTTGCATTGTAACTCCGTGTTCCAGATTTTTAATAAATTTAATGTAAGAACTAACTTTCGAAACTTTTTAAAACATTGCTACCTGGTGCCTCTTTCAATGACTTTTATGTGAAATGGCACATATTCCATTTCTTGTTGGGTATATCTTTTGTATATCTTGTGCCTTCAAAAATATTATTTTTTGATCATGTTAGACATTTCATTTTCAAATATATTTCAATAAAGAAACAAACATATTTTGAATTGTTTGTATTGAAAGCATTTTTACTAAAAAAAATTGTTAGTTTAAGTTTTAAATCAAGCCTACAAAAAAACACTATCATTTGCAATTGATTTTAAGCATGATGGATTTTTCATCACAAAAAGCATATAATTGTGTTTTGTTTAATGTCTCATCCAGTTTTAAATAGATCATTTGATCAAATCTAATTGAAAAGCTTAATAAGCATCACTTAACTATAATAAAAAAAAATTGTGTTGAAAACAAACAAATCTTCACATATTTCCTGTCTTTAAAATCTGCGGTCATCATCATTCTTGCCTTCACGATAAAGTCTCGATTGAGCCTCACTCTTAAGCTCTGGCGCCTCGTCACTCTTGAGCTCAATCCTGTGGTTGCACGCAAGATTCCCTTTCACCACACCTTCTATAACAAAGTCAATTTTGGTGGGAGATGGATGCTTATCATCTGGGCTTTCTTTAACTTGCTGGGCACACGGGACCATCTGCTGGTCGAAGATGTCTGGCAGATTCTTCGCGTTGTACACAAACACTTGCTCCCCATCTGATTTTCTCTTGATGTAAACCGGTGCCCTTCCCTGGGGCATGGATAATCGAGATATGATTTTGAAGTCAGCAAACAGGTTTTTTTCCTCCAGCTGGACGTTGGCTGTGTAACAGCTGTTTGGCCCAACTGCGATGTCGCTGGTTGCCTCCATAACAATTGTCTCTTCAAAAGTCTGGCCTTCGGATCTCGAGACCTTGAGAATAAACCAGGACACGCCATGTTAAAAATTTATTCCATTAAAATACAAATGACACTTAATGACCAGTTTCTTTTCTAGAGTAACATTTAAGGCCTTCAGGGCAAGGACTGACATTGATGCCCTGTTCTGTACAAATGTTTAATGTCTTGACCATTCGATGCTAAGGGAAGGCGGTCTATCTTTGTACCTTTTATCAGGTGCCTATGGTGTGTGCCCTGCGTGGAGCCTCCCCTTACCCATACACTATGTTGAGGTCACTCCTGATCCAGGTTATATAGGAGTAATCAAGAGATTTTATGGTGCTATCAAAATCATCAACTATTTACAGCATTCCATGCATTGGCCACACTGTTTCAGTAACATACCTTGGTACAGCCTGGAGTAGGCCAAAACTCTGCTGTCGCTCCTCAATATAAAGGAAAACAGGTGCTGCCCAGTGTGGACTGCCCCCTTCCTACGCCACTGCACTGTTCATCTGAATGGGACACACAGGGCACTAAACTTACACCCAGGACTCTATACTTACACATGTGGCATCCAACTTACACCCAGGGCACCTAAATTACACATGGGGCATCCAGCTTACGCCCAGGGCACCTAAATTACACATGGGGGGACCCAACTGACACCCACGGCTCCTAAATTACACATGGAACCCAACTGACACGAAGCACCCAACTGAGACACGGGGACCCATCTTACACAGGTGTCACCCAGCTTACACATTGGACACCATTAGCTTTCTGTACACCCCATAAAGTCTTTTTGTCAAGCAACTGTAGAGATATGCCATATTGGACCTCTTAGCAAACCTGCTTTATGAATGTGTCTTAAGGCATCATTTTATTTTATTTAAATCTTAAAAAAGAATTTGAGTTATTTTGGGTGGTTTTTTTTTAAATTTAAAATTATGCTTGGCCTTACCTGGTACTGCATTTCTGTTTCGATGCCCAACTCTCCCTCACCAAATATTTTGGGGATCCCAATGCTAAAGTTGGCCTTGCCGCCAAATGTGAAGCCCTTCTGGAAGGAGACGTTGATCTCCGTGCGCCGTGACTTCTCAAACCGGAACTTGTAGAGTTGGCGCTCGGCGGTGTCGTTTTTGAAGACTGTGTCAAGGGAAAGCACCTCGGGGCTGAAAAAAGAAGAACGGTTCGAAAATAACATCTTGGAATCTATGCTTATATTTTTAAAGAAAATATTAAAATGTCAGGAAAATGTCAAGGGAACGTAAACATAATGTCTAACTGTATAACACAAAAATATGACACTTGGACCCGCCTCATACTTAATAATGTTAGAAAACACTTCCACTGACCACGACCCCTAATATTATATAGACATATTATAGAGGTCGTTCGTAAATTACGACACGCTAAAAAATAACTTTTTAGACCCCTTCCCTTTTAGATGTTTTTAAAAAATGACGTCACAAATGTTGGAAAACCACACCACTCCCCNGAATTAAGCGCAGAAACAAGCAAATTTCAAGCAAAAATACATAAATTATTATTTGTTAAACAAATAAAATCATGCTAACTATTGTAAGTACCGGTAATATAAGTGTCAGCAAATTTTTTTTAAAGGACATTTTAGTTTTTAATAATCAATCCAAAAAAATAATAAAATAAAATAAATTAAAAAGAATTTGTAAATTGTCACCACATATAACATTGCTCCCTACCGACCCCCCCCCCATATAACGCAACATAACGAAATGATAATCCACCCCCCTACCCTTTCGCGTTATATAGGACGTGCAGATTCCCTTATGTAGAGGTGCCGCCATTTCAATACAATTATTACAAGAACATGGCATGATGCGTCTACACATTTTTAAATGCAATTTTAAATTGCGGATATTTTTTTTTCCTCTTTCAAGTATTAAAAGAAGACCCCAACGTTCACGAAGCATGACGCTTTATTCCCGAGAGGATAGAAACAAGATCCTCCCGCATCAAGTACAAGTCTGCCAATCTATGCTTCAACTCGTTCACTGACCCTCACTTTCCTGTCTATCTCTCTGAGCTGTTGCGTCCTTACACCCCCACAAGACAACTACTCTCTTCCATTGACAATAGAACCCTCTCAATCCCAAGAACCAAAACTAAGACCATCGGTGAGCGCTCCTTCTACTTCCATGGGCCCACGTTCTGGAACCAGCTCCCCTTCCATATCCGTCATTGTGAAACCTCGTCCACTTTCAAAAAGTCCCTTAAAACCCATCTGTTTAGGTCCGCCTATGACCTGTGATGCACCCTCCTTGCCCTGCCTCATTTTCTGTCTCGGGTTGATCCTGTAGTATAGGCCAAAACGTGCCAAAGTGTCCTCGTTTTATAGCCATTTTAATTGTTTCTATCGTATAGTAGTTACTTTCCAAGTGTCTCTGGTTTTTCATTTTTATTTTACTTAGTTTACATGTTTTTAATAATTGTAAAGCGCTTAGAGCTTTAAGGTAAGCGCTATATAAAAATGCCTAAATAAATAAA